GAGAATATGGCATTTCCATTCGTTGATGAAGTTGACGGACTTTCCAAAGTCATAAAGAAGATCATCATGTTGTTCTTTGGAGTACATCGAAGAGCAAAGTTCATTGATTTTTCCCTCCACGGATTGAAGAACAATCTTAGTTTCTTGCAACTGTCACACTTTGATAAAAGGTCGTGCAAGCACTGGTGTTTGAAGTCTTCATCAAAGGGATCACTAAGAGCGAACTTCCTGCAGTGGTCTGCACAACGGCTGTCTTCGTCGCGACAATGAACGCGATACTCAGTTTTTAGGCAGCACTTCGCCTTCATAAGGTGGTTCCTAACATCTGAACACCAATCCTTGCTCACTCTGTACTCTTCTTCAAGTTCTTCAACAATTCGGGTTATCCTTTGGAAACTTTCGGCACCCTCAGCGGATACATTGTCCAGCCCTTGCAAAGACTTACGCAGAGACGCTTCCCTCGCTTTAAGGACGCGGTACATCGTTGCAAGACTTAGTGGTTGAAAGCCATCATCTTCACAAAATACCAAATACTGCGCAATCATAGTAGACCTAGTGACGGTACGGATGATGTTAGGCATCGCTAAACGTTCGCCACTCTCTAGTTTGAGGGTTCGTTGACCATAAGCAACATCTTGTAGAAATAAGGTCGGTCAACGAAGGTAAAAAAAGGGATCTAGTTTCATCATGTCTATGCGCACATGATGGCTAATCGCTTTTTTTCATTCATCTTCGCTTGACGTCTCGCTTTCTTTATTTGCCGATCACTTAGCTTCTCGAAAGGCTCGTGAAGTTTCTTTAGCTCCTCAGTCGAGTAATTCAGAACATACAGGCTAAGAATTTGAATTTTTAGATTCTTTGTCGGTGCATTCTTGTATGCTGTTGTTAATGCGAGTATGCCGTGTGAAATCCGTTTCTCTGTTGCCGTTACCCGGGCCTCGTAAAGCTTGTCCGGATCATTTGGAGCGATTACACCGCATACCAACCGACAAGACATCTCGGCTGTTTTGAGACAGTTTTCT